AAGAATCGATATTTGTGTTTTCTGAGAGAAAATATTTCTCGAATTTATAATGTTTGCAAGGAGTTCTATCGCACTGAAGAGCAAGATCAATCACTTAACATGTTTCATATACACAAGGATTGAACGCACTATTACCCTTCAGTTTTAATGACCAGATTCAACTTACTTAAAGAGAACAAACAACTAATATGAATTTTCCAGTTGGCCTCAACTCTTACTATGAAGGTGTCAAATCATAGATTCTATCTGACCTTGGAGTTACTACTCTTAGAGAAGCCTATACAAAAGTGTTGCGTGCTATTTCATGCTCTCAAGCTTCACCTATACAACAACCTAATGCTCTTGCTATAAACTTTAGTCTCAAGGAAATTATGGTAAGTGGAACTCTGACTTCTTGAAATTGAGGCCCGAGGGTAGTTTGATAGTTCTGTCATGAATTTGGTCATATGATGAAAATCTGTTAGAAGTTGCTCAAAAAGAAGTATAAGGGTTCTAGATCACAGTCAGCTTAGATGGTCACTGTTAACGAGTCACGAGGTATCTCAAAGAAGACTTTCTAGATTTTTGCAAATGAATAATTTCATCCAATTCCAAGAAGTATCTAAAAACCTTCCTCTTACATTACCCTTGTTGAGTCAGGTAACAATGATATTGGTCTTCTTTCCTGTTCTACACATCGGGTCATTGATTCTGGTTTCACATATCGCATGCAGGAACTCCAAAACACTTTTCAACCTTTCATAAACATCTTTCTTCCACCACCTTGAGTTTTTGTTTCCAATGTTTGGATTCTATATGCTTTGAGCTTTATGTATATGGTGTTACTTGGTATGGTTATTATAAGATTGGTCACATACTGAGTTCCAGTACCTCTTTCTTCCCAAAAGATGATCTTATTTGTGTCTTTTCTCGAGGCAGTGGAAGATGAGAAAGTCCATCTTTGTGTTCTTGGTTACATTCATATTTCTGATCTTATGATTCGGATGGTTAAACTCTCTCAAGCTATCAAATAGCATTGAAATCATGATTGGATTATCTCTCTCTTGTTTATTGTACTCGGTTTTTTTTTTGTTTGTTTTTTGCTAACTTCAGCTCTCGTGAGATTCTTGCTTTTTTAAAAGTACTGTTAAATCATTTCAGTTAAAGTATTAGGGCCTCCCTATTAAACAAATCAAATCATACTGGGGGTAATTTTGCGGCTCTCCTTTTTTTATTGGAACTATTTAGCTCTATACTTCATATGCTATATTGTTCTCTTTGCAAAGAGACAAACATACTATTGGCAAAGATTTACACTTTAAAGCTAAAGTTTTTGTTTTATGTGGTCAATATGATTACTGGTTCACTTTTCTAAAGATCATGTTTATGATGTCAAATTGATTTTGCTGGTAATTTCCAGAGCACTGTCACCTGTTATCGTACTTATAATGGTTTTATTGAAGGTGCTGATCATTGAAATCGGTTCAAATCGTAAGGATAGTAATGTTGATTTTGTTCCTCTACTAATAAATCTCTCGATAGTAATGTTGATTTTGTTCCTCTACTAATAAATCTCTCCTCGACATCTGTGATGAAAACCAGCATAGGTTTTTATTAAATTAGAAGGCCGAAGGAAGGAGGTAGCAAATTTGGAGCGTTGTGCCATTTTCAGGATGCATTCATTGTCATTCCCAATAGATTTAAAGGAGAGGCCCTATAAAATGAAGTTTACAACAAAACATAATCATTAGGGCTGCAAATGAACCGAGCTGAGCCAAGCGGGTGCCTATTCGAGCTCGAGCTTGTTTATTTAAAGATTGTTCGGGCTTGAGCTTGTTTATTGCTATCCTGTTTGAGCTTGGCTTGAGCTTGATTCAAGTTTGGTCCATATATTGTCTTATCGTGCTTTATTTATGAGCAGCTCCTGTAACGAAATAAATGAGCCTTGTTCGAGAATTAATCGTGTTTTAATTGAGCCTTACTTGAGTTTGCTACGAGCAGCCTGTTGGAAAAAAATAAAAGAGTCAACGAACAATGCTTGTTGTTTCTAAAAGTAAATATTTAAATGATATTTTGCTATTCACGAAAGTGCTATAATTAAATCATAATTGAGTTTGTTCATATGTTTGTTCACAAGCAATAATTGATATTGTTCATAACCATAAATGAACCAGAAAACAAGCTACTTAAGTTCGTCTCTTTAGTAATCAAGCACATATGAATGTACCCAAGTCCTTTTGATTAATTAATCAAATGATCATGAACAAACTTTAATTCAACTGAGCCACAAGTAGCTTGATCGCTTGGTTCGTTTGCAGCACTAACAATCGTTATGACAAGCGTGATTTTTAGTTTCCTTTTCCATCACAAAATTTAAGGGCTGTCAAATTTGCTTTGCTTCTATTATTCAAAGTTCCGGATTGCTAGAGCTTCCAAAGTATTTTAGCTGAATGGACATATCGAAAGACATCATTTTTATTCTTTTTCATTATCTTTCGAGTTGATGACACATCAAATTTGGTTAACGATATTTTTTTTCTTCTCCTAAAAAATAGTTGCAGCAATTGCTGCTATTCCTTGACAGTGATTGTGAGCAATTCATCATATGCAATTGTATTCCGTTCCAAAATTATTTCAATCATAGAAAATTTCCTGTTTATTAATATAAAATTGATTTTGAGGCACATGAGGCTATTTATATGTCTAATTTTATATCAGATAGTTCAAAAACATATTGATGTTGAAGTTTCTGATTGATTGGCTTTCTTGATGAATGACTAAAATTTTTTAGTTGAAAATTATTTCTGACTACCGGTAAGAGTAATTTGCTATGACTGTATTTATCTCAACGCATATTAAACTTTTTTTAAATTTATCGTGACAA